GCATTCGATAGCATTACTTCAGTTCCCTAGTGGCTCAATAACTCTACTTTTACCATTGACCTTTTTGTCATAAATAACATTGTTGTGTTCCAACTTAACTTCAAAGATGCCCAATTACTGTAAGAAGGGCATGACCCTGAAGATGAAGAAGGTCCTACTAATTTAGCCATTAATTATTTTTTAAAATACTCTCAATGATCTTGGTAGATAAATTCAATCCCCCCTTCTCTATGTACCCATCAAGCTTATGTTTCGTCTTCTTCTTTTGGTATCATTTCTCTCCTTACCCCAACACTCATCATCTCTACCAAATTGAGATGATTCTAGAATCTTGTAGGAAGGAAAGGGCTTTGGTTGAGCCTAATTATTAGTAGACTTCTTCATCTTCAAGGTCATGCCTTTCTCGCTGTGATTAGGCAATTTCAAGGTTGAGTTGGGACATAATAATGTTTTTTATATAAAAAGGTCGATGGTGAAGTTAGAACCATTAGGGAACTAAAGTGATGCTAGTAAATACTTTATTTTTAATAGTTTAAGATTTATTTTATAACATCTCATAATATAAATTACCTAATGGTCCTCACAAAATAATTTGTGACTAAATTTGCATCTTTACTTAATAATTTGACTGGGTCCCACTATGATAATTGTAACATCCTGATTTTTTATATAATAAAGAAATTGTGGAATTTAGGTTTTGAGAAAAAAATGATAATAATAGGAATTTATATTATTTGAGGTTATTTAGAAATAATATTATGGTTAGGTATTTAATTATGAATTTAAAAATTTAAATTTAAAACCACATAAGCAATATTTAGTTAAGATATAATACATAAATAATTTTTTTTATGTGTGTGTTAAAAAAAAGAGAAGGTAGAAGGAACAAAAAAAAACGGGGGGGTGGAAGGTTGTTGTTTCTAAGTCCCACATTGGTTAGATGAGGGAAGAGAAGAGGTGCCTTCATGTATAAAAAGGAGGGGGTGTGTGCATTAGGAAGCATGAGAGGCTAAGATGCAATTTAGAGAAAATTGCAACTTTGGGCCCAAAGGTTTGAATAATTAAATTCAAACCTATAGTTTTTTTTTAATATAATTTTGGGACTCACAATCCCATTTTTATATTATTTTTCTCTCTTCCTCTCACGTTGCTCGGCGTTTTCTCGCAAGGGGGGATTATTTTCTTTTTCTTCAGGTATGTTCTAACTTTCCTGTTTAGATTAGCATTTAAAAATTTATTTAATTACAAAATTAATTTTATAGTTATTTTTTAAATAATATTAGCTTTCTAGTGATATGATTATTTTGTAGGATAGAGTAAATATTTTGATTAGGATTTTTTCTATAGGATAGTAAATCTGATGATATGATGGATTAAAAATATAGGTTAAAACTCTTAGGGATATAATAAATATTATAGAATATTTTCTTGAGGTTGAAACTCATGTTTAAGAATTTTTGAGTTAAAATCTAGATCTATATGGTTGAATTTATGTGGAATCTGAGATGTAGGGATAAACCTATGATTATTAAATATTTATTTAAGTATGAATAGGTATTTTTGAGGTTATAGAAAGGTGATTTGAGGCTTCAGGATAATTTTAAAAATTTAATTTATTTTTGGACGAATTTTTAGAATATAGAAGGATGAAATTGTGATACTAGAAGTGATTTGAGGATAAAAAAAATAGTTTATTAGGGTACGAGAATTTTAGAAAAGAATTTGGGAAGTTAAATGAGGCATAAATCTTAAATTAGTGTTAATATGGATTATAGATCTAAGACTTTCTAACTATTTAAATTAGAGTTATTTATTTTAATGTAAAATTAATATATAGTATTGTGAAATAATTATGTAGATTATATTGACAAAGATAGTGGTGAAAAAGGAGTTGTGAAGGGGAACTTGTTATTCAAGACACAAGGTAACCATTATTAATGTGTTGTGATGAGTGTGTTTGTGAATGGTTATGTGTTGTTTTGTTGTTTGGAAAAATTATGAATTATTGAAAATAAATACTGTATATACTTATTTGAAATTATTGTCAAGTGGGTTAAAAATTTATTTTTGTTTATCATGATGAGATATTATTGTTCGGATATATTCCTGTTTGGATATTTGAATGATGCATGACTTGTCAGGGTATTTTAATGTATGGTGTTAATGGGAATTTCTATTCGGTTAATTATTACCACGTGGTAAGCCCTCATTGGACCCAATGAGTGGCGTGTCGCTTGGTCCAACTCACCTTTGGCCGGGTGATTTGGCGTCCGAGCATGGCGAAAGGAGGATATAAGATGCAGTCATGCAAATTAAATACTTGTTCGGTTTGTTTGAAAGTATTGTTCGGTTAAATGTTTTGTGTGCCCACTTAGCAATCGCATGATTAGTTACATCCGCATGCATCATTACATATTAATTTTTGGTTACTGGGACTTTTAAGTCTCATTCCCCGTGGTTAATATTTTTACAGGAGCGAGTCCGGCCGAGAAAGCACCAGAGGTGTAACTGTGGTGTATGAGACACCATCTTTTACGTTGCCTCTTATTTTAGATTATACAATGTGTCTTGTGCCAACTTAGGACATATCTTCTTTGTGAAGCATGTAAACTCTAATCCTTTTTATTAAAAGTATTTATATGACCAAGAGGATTATGTCTGTCCCTCTTGATTTATGATCTGATTTGAATAACATGCTATGAGGATCATGTCTGTCCCTCATGGTTCTAATTGTTTTTTTAGATATTTTAAGACCTGTGGTATATTGTCTTGGATGTATCGTGGTAGAAATTTTTCTACCATGATAATGGTTTTAATAATTTGCGAAAAATCGGTCTGTAAATTTGAGGGTGTTACAATAATAAATGTCTGTTGGCTTGAAATTAATGGAAGCTGCTAGATGCTCTATTTTTAATAGTTTAAAATTTATTTTGTACCACTTTAAATTATAGGCTACTTAGTGGACCTTGAAAACTAGTTGGTAGCTGAATTTGCATATTTACCTATATATAAGTATCAAAGTACTTGGCATCCCCGATAATCATGTTAGACCTTGACTAATCAAAATTGAGTCAGATAGGACCACAAGAACACGAAGCTCTTCGCAGAAGCATTTAGTGCAATTACATGCTCAGGATCTGATTTCAAAATTACTCGTTAAGTTAGCATAACCTTCTATTGTAATAAGCTACACACTTATTATATATATATATATATATATATATAATTTATGTTGAAACAAATTTTAGTTACCAATTTATCCCTCACTATAATAAATTGCTAAATTATATTATTATTATTATTATCCGGTAGAAAACTATATCATTATTTTTACAGTTGCCTGAATTTCATTTAGTAAGGAAAAAGAAAATAATTTGTTTAGTTTGCTGCACACTCAGCCCACAGATTGCAAGTTCGAATGGCAGACAAAAAAATAAAAGAGAATAATTTAAAAGTTTTATTTCCTTTTTTTTTTTCAAATAGTTATTTGCTTAATGTTTTTAGCAAATTGAGACAAAAGCTTAAGTATTTTTAAATTGAGGTAGACATAAAACTTGATTAACTTTTTAAAGGTTAATTTATAATTTTAATCATGTAACTTTACACAAAGTATTACTTTAATCTCTTATTTTTATAAGATGTAATTTTAATCCTTTAATCCTAACATTGATAGTTTTATTATAAAATTTTTTTTATATTAAACTTTTAAGTATTGATAAAATATTGACCTATTAAGTTTTTTTTTAAAGAACAATGATAAGTACAAAAAATAATAATATAAAACTAATGGGTATAGGCTTAAAATACTAACAATATACTTTGTAAAATCAATGAATTAAATTGAAACCTTATATAAAATTAGAATATAAAAAGTATACTTTAATCTTTTTTTAAATAAATATATGTTTAGCTAAAGGTGTTTATAAATGATTTTAGCAAGAAAACATGTTTATCCCCAAGTTTACTCTTTTTTTTAAATAAATACTTTAGTTTTTTTTTTTCCTGCCTAGAACCATATGATTCAATGACATCCTATACTTTCTTAAAAAAGAGAGATTGTGAATTCTATTCCGAACGACCTAAGGAATATTATTAGGTGTGGCTGTTGGGTGGTTGAATATTATGAGCGTTTTTGAATGTGTGTGTTACATGGAAAGGGTAGTTAGGATAATAAAGAAAAGAAAACAATACGAGTTTACAAATTTGAAATTATAATTTTAAATGATCTATACAATCACTCATATTTCTGTGGTTTTATATTATATGATGAATGAAGCTGGTAAAAAAAATATTACATGGTAAAAAAATGCTGTTGAAATGTCTTTTTAACAATTTTTTTTTGGAAGACATAAATACGTAATTTGAAATAAAAACCTTTCTTATGCTAGCTTTGAAGGCAGTTTTCTTTTTCATATGACAATTATGAAAATTACTAAATTTGTTTTATTGTCCATCTTTCATAAAAAAAAAATTCTATCTAATTTTATTTATAAATTACTTTCAACATATTTTATCATAATTAAAAAATTTTTAAATTTTGTTAATTTTTTTAAAATTTACTAAATTTTTACTTTTATTCTCAATAAATATTTTAAATTTTATTATTGATATTTTTATTTAAAATATTTTAAAAAGATAAAAAATAAAAACACTGATAATTGATAAGTATTTTATAAATAGTGTTACTTTTTTTTCTTTCTATCTTAAATTTCTTCTATTTAAAAATATAAGGTATTTTTAATTAAATTTTAATCTCTAATAAAGTAATTACCTACTTTTAAATCAATCTTATTTTTTTATATTTACTCCTATTAAATATTATATAATAAATATAAAGTTATTATTAGACACTTTTAAAAAAATAATAATTATATTTTATAAAATTAAAAATATCTTATATTTTTAAATATTTAATTTTTAAAAAAATATTTTATATTTTTAAACGAAAAATAAGATGACTAAATAAATAAATAAATGTGAAGTGCCTTTCCGTCCTTTCATTTCCTCCCTCCCACTTGTTTCGGCGATTCTCTCTCCCCTCCCTCCCTCCCCTGTCCCTCCAGCAAATGGCTTCGTCTCAAGCCAGCCTTCTCCTTCAGAAGCAACTCACAGGTTAATAATTTTACTGAAAACCAAACCTCGGCTTTCTTTCTTCTCTTTTTCTTCTTCGATTTTATCAAAAATCCCTTTTAGGGTTTTGCTTCTTTCTTGAGTTTTTGAATTGATCATTATTGTTTTTGGCAGATCTTTATAAAAATCCAGTTGATGGATTTTCGGCGGGTTTGGTTAACGAGAACAACGTATATGAATGGCGAGTCACGATCATTGGGCCACCCGATACTCTTTAGTGAGTTACATGGTTCTTTTTTACTTTTCTTTTGAGGTCAATTGTAAGTTCTCTTCAGGGTTTGTTTGAGAAATGGAATTGAATGGATAGAACTCAAATGAAAGATTGAAAATTAACAAAGAACTCAAATGAATCAATGCAATTATTCATTGTTATCTTCTTTCCTTCTCCCTTTTATTTCGCAGACAAAGCGTTAAATGGTCTGATATCAATTATTGATTTCTTTGCCATGTACTACAGTTTAAAGCTATCAAATAACAATAGTCAGACATGACAGCATCCAAGTTTCGTTAAGTCACATAATTTGAAATTTCTTTGACCACTTCTTTCTTAAAATAATTCGAGGGGCAACATCCAACTGAAATTAGACAAATTTACAAAGTAAACTATAGAGATTAGTATTGCAAGTAAGTGTCTCTTTATTTTCTGTTGTGTGTGATTTGGGAGTGCCCAAGCCCAAGCCTTTGTGCATAATTGAAATTTCTTGATTTGTTAAGTCTATATAGTATCAAAGATTAGGTCACAAAGAGAAGGCTGTGCATGGTAGAACAATATAGGTGAGGTGAAGTTGTCTAGGTGACTAGTGCTCATCAGAGTGTGTGTGTGTGTTTTAAGAAATAGTTCCCCTTTCTAATTTATTCAGCAAACTGAACAGTTGTCCACTGTGCTGAACAATATGGTATATGGACATTTCTATGCATCTAAGTGTTTAATTGCTTACTAGGCTTTTGTTATTAACTTCTTTTTGGATTAACTCTTTATAGAATTTTTTTGGCAAATATTTAGATAAAATTGACATTTGAAATTTTGAATTGTGGTGGTTATTATATACCTTTGTGTCTTCTTCATATGGCCATGGTTTGCAGTGATGGAGGTTTCTTCAATGCCATCATGCTTTTTCCTCCCAATTATCCACTCAGTCCACCAACAGTGAGATTTATCTCTGAGATGTGGCATCCTAATGGTGATTGCATACTGCCATCACAACTATTAAAATTCTGTGGCTTTCATAATTTGTTGCCTAATCTCTGTGGTTTTTTATATGGACTATAGTTTACCCAGATGGAAGAGTCTGTATTTCAATTCTTCATCCCCCTGGTGATGATCCAAATGGCTATGAACTTGCAAGTGAGCGCTGGAGTCCTGTCCATACGGTATGGTTTGGACTATCAGAAGCATTTGTTCATAATGATGAGGCTTGGACTTTTCTTGCTCTTTATTTTTACTTGAGTAATCATTGATGGCACAAGTTACTTTATAATAACTTGGCTTGTGATCTGGAACACTGTCAAATATAATTGAACTGCCTGGATTTTCAATGTAAACCATCTGTTTGCTATCAAGTTTATGATAAACGGCAAGACAAATGTTTTGATTCTACAACTAATGATCTTTGAATTATTTTTTTCACCTGTCAGTTTTAATGGAGAACCTAATAGCAAGATATAAGAAATTCTACTTAAATCTGGCCCTCTATTCTTGTTAATAAACAGTGCTATCAATAATCTGATCTCATCTGCAAATATTTTTTTAGTATTACATATTTACATTATTTTATTCTTGGTGAACAATGCTAATAATAATCTGATCTGTTATGCAGGTTGAGAGCATAGTTTTAAGCATTATATCAATGCTTTCAAGCCCTAATGATGAGTCTCCTGCAAATGTAGAAGCTGCGGTATGTTTTAATGTAATCTCTGAAGCAACCATTACTTGCATAATAATTTTCTTTCTTATCCATTCCCAAAGTAATTGCATCTGAAATCTGGAAATGTGAGATTTTAAACTTGCGACTCATGTAAAAGCATATTTGACTGGGAATATGATGAGATTAACCAAGATATGTGATGTTCTTATCTTCTATTTTAAACTTGAGGTTGTTTCTGCTTATTGTTGGCTTGAAGTCTTATTTAATTTTTATTTTAGCCGTATTTTGCATGTGCCTATGAGATTGCAGCATCATTATTTTGAAAATAGAGAGTTTTGAAATTTCAAATAACTACCCACTAACCATAATCCCTTTCCCCTACTTTTAATGGTAACGTTTGTATTTTGTAGAAAACAACTAAAAATTAAGCCCTAGTTCTTGCCATATTTGTTTTGTTTAGATGATGATACTTCAAATTTGCATGATTGATTGGTCAAGTTTGAGTTTATTTGCAATATCAGCATTCTCTAGGCACCGATTGGGTGAAATTCTTGGATGACATTTTTATCTTGTTGACTCCCTTACTGCAGGTGATGTGGAGAGACAAAAAAGATGAGTTCAGAAAGAGAGTAAGTCGCTGTGTGAGGAAGTCTCAAGAATTATCATGAACTCCTTTATACTTTTTATGTCATTACAGTTTCTTGCTTCTTATTTTGCCATGAGTGAAGGATTATGGCCATGTTTTGTTATTCTGATTATAAAAAAAAAAAAAAAAAACTTGTCATTCTTAAGCCTCAGACTTAAGGAAATATGTGCTTGAAGTTGTGTAAAATTGTGGCTTTCTATAGCTCTTTCCTTCTCTTTCTTTGTTGATAATAGGCCTTCTAAAGTTCTTGTCATTTGAATTTTTCTTCCATTCTTATCTCCTCTGTGTGTGTGAAAATTCTCAATGCTGCATAACTTACAAAAATTGGGGAGTCCACTAAATAATTGAAAAGGGACTGCCTCAGCCTCACTTGTCTTACCGGTGACTGTAGTCTTTCTCCTGGCATCATTGCAGCTTGTTTTCTTGATCATTGTTATTTCTGAGCTCAAGCAAAACACTCAGTTTTAAAACAGAATTGGTCATTTCTCTACAAATGAGCTTGCTAATAGGGATTATTTTTTGTAGTATCAAACTGTGTCTTGTAAAATTTGTTTGTCAATGCAAAGTATATGGGTTAAGCCTATTATACTTGTGGAAGGTGGAATAAAGCTTGTTATTGTATGGGTCAAGTCAATAAAGAGTAAGAAAGATCTTACATTAAATAGAGTCCACAGACAAAAGAAAAGTATATAAATAAGAATAAATTAGCTAATAAGTAAGATTTTGTATTAGTTTCACACACACACGCATGCCATTTCAAAGTAAAATAAAGAAGAATCAATAAAAACTTGGCACTTTCTTAAGCTACAACAAAAATAGATTCGGGATTGGAAAGAACATATACAAAGATGACATCAAAATATGAAGATTGTGAAATGATAATTTAAAATTGTGTATCTATCATTACGGGAGATTGAATTTGTAATTTGTAATTTATTGATAAAATTACGAAGTTCTAAATAAACGTAATGTACACTAGTAATAAATATACTAAAATAATATTAATGGCGTTTTTGGATGCTAAACATGCAACCATACATTTTTTTTGGATGTTACTAATTTTTTTACATAATCATTAAAAGAAATCACATCTAGCAACTCTTTTTTTTTTAACTATACACATTATATGATAGGATAATATAATTTTTAAAATACTAATCACTTGTCAAAAATCATGTTGAGCCTGACCAGTCCATATACAAATGAAATTTTTCACGGCCTCATGTTTTAGGTTTTGTGCAATTTTCAGTTTATGATGGTTTTGTTAAAAATATAAAAACATATAATCAAATTTCAAGGACCTGCTCCAATTACTAAAAAACTAGAATTCATACCCATGTGATCCACGGAAAAGATGTCATCATATATTATGTAAAATATTATAATTTTGAAAATATTAGTCTATTGTGTATTAATACAATAATTTTTTTTAATCTGTTAAGCTGAATCTTCAACCTAAACTATTTTCTTATTTATTTAGTACTAATTACTTATATATTATTTTATTATTTTAGGATGATTATATCATTTATTTAAAGCATGAAAATGCAATTATATAACAACTTTGTATAATTCTAATGTATAAGAGAATATACAAAAGAAATATGTCTCTCTTTTAATAAATGAAAAAAGCCATAACTAAAAAATTTAAATGGTGAGAAAATAAAATGGAGCAATTTAAATTTCAATGGGCTTTTATTTTTTTTATAAAATAGATGTTAGATATTCAAGAAAATAAAATTTATATCTTATTTATGTGAATTTCATTCATGTGATAACATCTTATTGAATTAATTACATCTTATCTCACATGCACCAAGCCCTTATTATATAAAAGTTTATAGAATGAAAAAAACATGAAAAATAAAACAAAAATAGAAAGGGGAGGATAGAGTTACCAAAATGACGACAATTATATAATAAAAGGTGTAAGACTCCATGTAATGAATGGGAGACATTAATTTTCTACCTAGTTTGAGAAAAGTAGAGGGAGGAAGGAGACATTTTAATTTGATTTAAAAATATAGGCAAATAGAATTATAACATTTTAATAGAGAGAAAATGAAAAAGAAAAAATAAAAATCAATTAAAAACGTTCAACCACATTTCTCTATTTTTTAACACCAAATTCAACAAATTATAAACAATATATTAAAATGATGCCAAAAAATTCAGATAACACTTGGCATTCTTTTTAATTTATCAACCACATGCACATTAAAAAAAATATTAATAGCAAACTGCAATTCAAAATTTATTATCTTTTGCAAATTAAAAATATAATAGACAACTTATTGTATTTTATAATTTTTTTATTCTGATACATGTTAAAATTATAAATAATACCTTATTTTATTCTATAATCTTTCACCTTGTTCAATTTAAAATTTAGTCTAAGTAATAATGTAAAGAAATATTTATTAATTTACTATTCATGATAAGAAAAAATTTTAGCAACATACTATAGCTCATAATTTATTATCCCATGTATAAGGCATTGTTATAAGTCATTTAAAAAAATAAAAAATAAAAATGTAAAATAAAAAGATAAATTAAAAATCTAAGAATTTCATTAAATTCAAAAAAAGAACACACTAAAATAAAAATGTTAAAAATATTTTTTATGCTTCTACTTTTTAATAAATATATTTTAATAATTTATGATTAAAAATATTTTTTAAAATATATATTTTTGAAAATATAAAAATATTAAGTGTAATAGATGAGCAAATATTTTAACAACATTTTTTTAACTATTTGCTATAACTCAGAATTCGTTAACTCATATATAATGTGTAGTTATAGGTCATTTAAAAAATGTAAAATAAAAAGATAAATTAAAAAAATTTAAGAATTTCATAAAATTCACAAAAATAAAAATCTGAAATACAAATATTAAAAAAATTTATGTTGTTAATTTTTTTAATAAATATATTTTTATAATTTATTATTAAAATATTTTTAAAAATGATTTGTTTTTTAAAAGAACAAAAGCATTAAATGTACTCACTTTTTACTATAGATCTACAGTGTAACATCCTGAATTTTAACCCCTAATTAACTAAGCTTAATTATGATAATTAAATAAATTATAGTAGTGTGTGACTAGGGAGGTCTAATGACTAGTTTTGATTATGGTTTAGCCCTAATTGTGGATTCGGTATGAAGTCAGGCTACTCGAGCACAGAAAGGAAAAGAAAACAAAGATTAAATGTTGTTGTGCCATACGCTATGGCATATAGACCAATACTGGAATGAGATGAGACCTCTTTATGTTATGCGTCATGGTGCCTACAATGTTTGCTGCTACGCATTGCCAATTTTTGCAGAATATCACTCATGAATTAAGTCAAAAATTAGAGAGAAGGAGATAGAAACCAAGAAACAGCAACTTAAGCTTTGCTAGGGTTTATTCTTGGATAATATTGGGAGTAGTTTGAAAGCTACAAACACCAAAGGTAAGTATCATATTCATTAATCTCCCATTTTCTTCCACATTTATGAGTTTTTAGTTAAGGTTTGATAGTGGGAGATGATTTTTCAATCCATATAAATTATGGGTCTGAATTTATTGATTCAAATGAAGTTAATGAGAGTATATTAGAGTATCTAAATCTAGATATATTAGGTTTTGACACTTTTGGTAGTTGGGTCTCATTATTATGCAAAAATGACATTAATAAAGGTTGTTAGAAGCGTTGTAAAGCCATTAATGAGAGTTTTAATAGCTCAATAATGTTATTGAAGACTAAAGAAAGTTAATAAATCTAATAGGTAGGCCTAAGCTTATACAAAGTGAGCATTAGGTAATCTAGAAGGGGAAAGATGAGAGTTGAAATGTGTGTTTGGCAATGTTGATGAGTTAAATAATTGATAATTATAGATCAAGTTCTTAGATACTAATTTGGCTAGGGAATTCAAGCTTGGAAGCTACAATATTGAGGAATAAATCTTTGACCTCACAAAAGTTTGAGGTAACCGGGGAGACCTTGTTTTGGGTAGTTATATGTTAATTGCTTTGTGGTGTGAATTATGTGTTTATCATGTGAAATATGACTTGTAAATGTAGGTAACATGCAATGAAACTTGGTGTCCACATAATTTGCTTGATATGTATTAAACATGTGAAAGTGATTGTGAAATGAGTTTTGAAGTGGCAAATGTGATATTAAAAAAGAATTTTCTCTTTACAATGTGTTTTGAATTAGTGGTTAATGATGAATGTGATAAAGATGAGTATAAGAGATTAAAAATGATGTGTTTATGTGATGTAAGTGGAAATGAGACTTGATACTCACTTAGGTAGCATACGGTCGTGAGCCCAACATATTTATTTATGATAATAAATAAATGAGAATATAGAAATGGGTGAGCATTGCACATGGCATGATCAGTGGGCGGGAGTACACCTAAGAGTAGAGAGTAAAGAAAATCTATATAGTACTTAGGCTGCCCTTTGGTGTACGAGGGTATAGCCTTATCCTACAGTTTGTCGAACAATTGTCTCATAGTTTGTCGAGGGACTAGAATCTAACTATTTCTACTAGTTTACCGAGAAGATTAACTTAAAGTATATGACACCCTAGAGATTTGAGAGCAGGGGAAGCCATGGTTCGAGAATGAGTTATGTAATCTTTGGTCGAGTCGCACCTCACAATTGGTGAGCTTGGATAGGTTAGTCACATGGACGGAACCCTATTCAATGTTATAGCCCATGGTTTCAGTCAAAAGAAATAAGAAAGATATAAGGTTGTTTGATCATTGCCTATGTAAATTTATGATGTGTCACATGATCGTGATATGGCAAGTCACATGGATATCGGGTCATAGTCACATGTCTAAGTGTCTTGTGACAATATACCTAGTGTGTGTGAGATGGAAATGAGTTAAAGGCGAAATGATAAGTTATGATATGTGTGCAAATATGTTTTAAGAACTTGGTTTCATATGCATGTGTTTGATTACAATTAATATATAACTACATAGGGTAGGTTTTATTTTGTTACTAAGTAGCTAGACTCATCTTTCTTTCTTAACATTTTACAGGCTCTAGTTCTGGTGTAAAGAGGGTAAAAGCTTAAGAGGCTTATGAATTAGTATATTCTTACTATATGCCTCTAGTTTATGTTTATTTTATGTAATAAAACATTATTGTCAATTCTAGGTTGCATATTGTTGCACTTGCACTATTTTGTTATTGTAAATATCTGGATTGTATTTTAGGTCCTAAATAATTGTGTATGATAAGATATATATATTGATAGGGCCAAAATACTAGTGCAAGTATAGAAATGTTATTTTAAACATGTTATGAATGATTATGAAGGTAATGCAATGAATTTGCCTCCCTTTCTTGTTTTTGGTATTAAGGGGTTGAGGAATTATTTTAGGTTATATTGGTATTTGAGTGCGTATGACGTGTTGTATTAATAGTCCTAGGTTTAATGGATATGATTTGGGTGTTAGGAATAGCTTTTGGCACTTATTATGGATTTTGGACACCCTTTTATGTGTGAAAGTTGTGAAAAGTGATAAAAATATGTTTGGGCATCCAACTTTCTGTGTGACTTGTTTTGTGAGTGAAACTCATGCCATTAGTTAATTTATGAAAAGAGCTTTTTGTAGATACTTATTTCATGTTATTTAGACTTCAGATGGAGATTTGGGGCACACTGAAAGTTGCTTAATTCTACTGTAAAAAATATGCAACATGCTGAGGTGCGTGGCATAGAGAATAACACACGACGGTGTGGTGTGCACAAACTGTTGGGGAATTGCTCTGTTTTGCAACAAACAAGTTGTTTTTTCAACTATCTTCATTCTTTTTCACCCTTTCGAGATATCCTATACTTTTCATAACTTGTTTTTACTTTGATATAAGAGTTTATGAATGGTTTAAACTCATTTTGATTATAAAAACTTAGAATCCCTTGATTTTGAAATAACAACTTTGTTATTTGCTAAATAGGTTAGTCCTTTGATTACCATGAGTTTGATTGATTAATTATGATTAATAGTAAAAGTTATTTCATACAGTAAATGAATTTTTTATTGTGCATGTACATTAAAAGCAATTAATAGCATGAGAGGCACGACATGAGCTCCAACAAGTATTAGAAAAAAAAATTGGGGGCAATATCGATAATTCATTGTTCATTGATTGATCCTAAATATATATATATATATATATATAGAAAGATTTAATGCATGTTTGGATTGAATCTTAACCTAAGATGGGATAGCCTTAATCTAAGCTAGGATGTTAAAAGTTTAATTTATCATGTTTGAATAACAAAAAAAAATTCAACCATAATTAAGGCCCTAACCAATGTTTGTAACAAAGCTTATTCACCGAGCTTTTTCATCAGCATTAGGTGTTTGTAACAAAGCTCATTCACCGAGCTTTTTCATCAGCGTTAGGCATTCAGAATATTAGGAGCAATGCTTTTTAAATTTTTATTCTCTCTCTTCGTTATTTGCTATCTCTTGAGCCCATGGTCCTAAGCCTTCTCTTCTTCATTGTTGCTTTGGCTCACCCTTCACTCTCTCAAGTCTACCAGATTTGAGGAGAGATCATAGCCACTGCTATCACCGAGACTTGATCTCCACTGAGTGTGTTGCTCGTATTGATGCACCCATGAGACGCGAACCCACAGCATAGACAAGGATGAAGATGACTAGAAAAGATTTGAGCACAGGCACATAGCCACACGAATTGAAGAACTATAAGCAAGTTGACGTTTTCAATAGAAGAAGAAAAGAGCTTGAATAGTGAACTCATGCCTCTTATGTCGACGGCCAACTGAGAATAGAGAAGGAAGGAGGAAAAGAAAAGAAGACAAATGGCAGTGTGTTCTCGACTTCTTCACTTTTTCGTCTATAGTGTTTTTATGATCGAAGAGGAAAGAGAGGAAAGATGAAAACAAAATCTAATCAAGGTGGGAACATAATTGTAATTTTATGAAGTTAAAAAAATAAAATAAAATAAAATGAGACTCAAATACAAGACCAAACTGATGATTAGTTAGCTTAAACTCTACTAGAGCAACTTTTCTTCTTGGTAAATTTGTACCAAAAATACACACACACACACAATATCATTAAAATGCCTCACCATCAATTTTTTAATTTTAAATAAATTCCAAGTCATTACATTTGGAGTATGGAAGAATGGATTTGTAATTTTAAATAAATATTTTATATTTTATATTTATTAATTGTAATTTTAAGTTTATTATTTTTTTAATTATTAATTTTTCAAAAATATATGTATAAAAAATTATGTTTATTTTTGTCATTAAAAATTTTAAACTGGCTTTTGAATTAAATTATTCAAACAAATTTCATTTTATTTAACTGACTTATGAAAAAAAGGTATACAAACATAAATTACGTTACATTAATTAATTTTTTTTCTAACCTCACTTGAATCCTTATCTCAATTGTAAAATTTTTATTCTAAACACACACTTACTGTTCATTGATTGATTCCAAATTTATATAGGTATAGATATCAAACAAAAAAGTTTAAAATCATAGTAAATTAGTACAATTTGATAACACTAATTTTTATAAAAAATAATTATTAATTATTATTTTTCGAATTTATAAAATTTATTAACTTTTAATTCTTAAATTACTTTTCCTAATCATTTAAATACCATATATCATAGGAATATGAAAAACGGAAAAGCAAAAAACAGACAACCGCGATCCTAAGCAGTACCACCAGATGAGTCACATCCGTCGATTCAATGTCATCAACGTTCTACAACAAACCAATGGCAAAGCCACGGATCGACACTGACAACCGTCGATAGAGAAAATATCCAACGGTAATCGTCAACATTCACATTCCCCAAAACCCAACAATCTTCCGCTCCGAGATTGCTTGCTCATAAATACCACCCCTTCTGTTTCAAATCTCCACAACCAAGTTCTCTTGAATATTTTGGGTTGATTTCAGATCAGGATTGTCATCTTCATCCGCTAACAATGTCCGGGCGTGGAAAAGGAGGCAAGGGATTGGGAAAGGGAGGGGCCAAGAGGCATCGTAAGGTTCTTCGCGATAACATTCAGGGAATCACAAAGCCAGCGATTCGAAGATTGGCAAGAAGAGGAGGCGTTAAGCGTATTAGCGGTCTGATCTACGAGGAGACTCGTGGTGTGCTCAAGATTTTCCTGGAAAATGTGATTCGTGATGCTGTGACTTACACGGAGCATGCTCGCAGGAAGACTGTTACCGCCATGGATGTGGTCTATGCTCTCAAGAGGCAGGGAAGAACCTTGTATGGGTTTGGAGGTTAAAGAAAGTTTCTGCTGAATCTAATTGGAAGGGTTTGGTGTAGAATTTGAATTAGACCTATGTCTTGCTTATGATTGATGAAGTAATGGCTGTAATGTATTTTGGGGATTTAGGTTAAGAACTTGAATGTAGAATGTGATGGTCTCATCTGTCCTTCACTCCTTTGGTTTTATCAATCAAAATCTGTATAATTTCTCAGTTGCAATTGCCCGTTTGTGCGTATTCAAGCATTTAATTGGTTTCTGAATATGAAATTTCTTGATTGCGGTAGGATTGTGGGTTCGTTTCATCGAGCAAGATTATCTGGATCATTAATCTCTCAAAACTAGAATTAATTAGTTTGGGGCACTGATTTTTCAATCCGCTAGGCTATGAATGTCCGTGGTTCTGCTGTTTTGAATTTTTTTTTTTGGTTAAAATAATTTGGTCCAGTAAGGGATTTGAAATTGATTAAAATTTTTCTTCACTGCTTCTTGATTGGTTGATTGTTGTTCTGATTCTAGTTGAGGAGGGGAAGGGAAATAATTGTGATTTGATCAATTTTACTTTTTTGAACTCATGTTCAAATTCAAACACGGGAAATTCCGCAACGTAGCTGGATTCTTATTAACGAAGAGGGGTTCTTAATTGGGCTTTGGTTTGGTTGGGTGCGTTCGATTTGTCTGATTGAAATATGGGTCGGGACAAAGAAGACATATGGGTCGGGTCGATCTAGGTTGCAAGAACGAAGTGACCATCAAACAATCATTACAAGTATCCAATTGGACCTGGTTGAAGATTACAGGGTTTGTTTTTACATTTCTTTTTTTTTTTTGAGCAAATTGTTTTTACATTTCTTTTAAGCTGAAAATCCATTAATAGAAGCAACAAGTGATCTAAAACACAGATCACTTGAACTTTTTCACCATCTTTCACCTGTGTTAGCGAATGGATGATAATTAAAGAGGTAAAAATTTTCCTCCATAATGTGAGGGAACCTAGTTAAAAAATCACTAAATCAGCGTCACTGTTTTTGTCCCCATAAACCTTGGTATTTAATATTTATTTTTCTATTTTAAATCTTTATAACATTAAATGTTATAAGCAATTAATTCATTATAATTAATGAAATATTAGTTTTTGATAAAGATAGATTTGGAAAGTATTACAATACCTTATTACAAATTTAATGATCTAAATTTCATTTAATTGCTCATGTTATGTTTGTGTGTGGCGGTTAAATACTTAAATTAAAGGGAGAATCACGGTCAAAGTACTTATAATCAAGAATTGTGCAGATAAGATTCAATGGAATATGACATTATTTTACAGGCTTAAATGGCTTTGTTGCAATTATACTTTTTTGGTGGAATCACTTATTTATCCCTTGTTTGAAAAAATAACTGGCGCGTGCAGAGACCGTTAACCATGAAGGAATGCCAGTTTTTTTTTCCCCCAACGTTTGATCTCATCTCGACTTTGGCAGACTCATTTTGTGTTTTGAAGTTGTTTTATTCACCTAGAGTTAGTAATTTGGATGTGGTGAGCTTATTCAAGACTCTCTCAATTTGGGCAGGACTTATTTAAATTTTGACTTAAAATATTTTAATATATAAAAAAAAACTCATAATCAAATTTGACTCTAATTTCTCAGACTTTTAGGCTAACTTGAATTGTTAAATAGTATTTTATTTTATTTTATTTTTTATGTAATTTCAATTTGTATTAAAAAATTAATATTTTTAATTTTTAATCTTATTTTATTAATAATAAAAAAGGAATTTGGATATTCGGGCTAAGCTCATTTAATTTCAGACTTAGCTTGTATTTCTTTAGGCTTATTTACACGGCCCAAATAAATCAAAAGTAAAGAAAATTTTTTAAATTTTCAAGCTCGATCCTAAAATTTTTTAAGCTTATTTTCAAGGTTGAACAATGGATAAAAAGGGTTGGCTTGTGAGGTTGCTTGCAACCTATACATGTACATGCCAGTTTCAGCTCATTTGAAAACGGGCTAGGCAAGCCATATATGGGTTTGGGTAGGCTAGCTAGCCCATTTTGACAAAACAACCCCTTAATAAAAAAAATTGCATGCAAGTGTTCATTGTCCTACACTTCTAATTCCTAATTCCACCTGATAACAACTCAAACATTATGGAAAACAAATTCAAATGTTACCTGTTACATATTACAATTACCCAAACATTTGCATTCTTCAAATCAAACACAAAATCATTAATCAAAGTAACGGCATAAATCACAAATTGGCAAATAGTCTTGCCACAAGCAATAAGCTAATAAAACAACATCCTAGCACAACTAAGCAAGAAAAGTTCTTAAAACAATCAATCATATATTTAATCTTTCATTGGATTATCATCATCATCATCATCTTTTTCTTCTTCTTCAGAATCACTTGAGATGGTTGAACATTGAGCTTCTGAGTCTTATTCTGCAAAATAAATTAAGAAAAAATGGTAATAAGTAATATGTAAAAATGTGAAATAATATAAATTAATAATGTTAATAAAATTACCAATAACAAGATTGTTAGATTCATTAAAATTATTAAAATCAAGCTCTTTCAATTTGAAAGTAGGTTGAGAAAACTAACCTTAGACACAAATGAGTGCCTCAACTATATTTGAGGATAGGCAGCTCTTAAAAGTAACTAGTACTTAACCTCTCATACTAAATGTAGATTCTAAAGACACTATAGAGACAGGTAAAGCCAACACATCATATGCAATTAAACTCAAAACTTTACACTTGAAAGTATTTACTTTATACTAGGCCAAAATATCAAATTTTGGATCACGAGAAGCAACTAACTTAGTATAAAGATATTTATCCACCTCTGAATTTTTTTCTTCTTGACATTTAGTGCTTGCAATTATGTAGAATTGTCACATTATTTCATCACCTATGACTGCCAAGACATCATCATCTGGAATTCACACTTGATTCCCAACATTGTCATTCTTGTATTTCGTTTGTGCCTAAGTTTGAGAAGGTTCACCTTCAAAGACATTCTTTGAATATTCATCATATAAGTTATGCAAAACATCCATAATATTCTTTGCGATCAGCTCTATTTTCAAAAGCAACTTGGACATATTTGAATTTGTATCTAGGGTCTAGTATCACTAATATCACCAATAATGGATTCATGTTGTTTGCCTTACTTCAGTACCTTTTCAACTTACTTTGCATTCTTCTCACCATGTCACTTAATAGAGCATTGGAATTAGTTGTACTTGTCTTAAGCTTAGTTTGCATTGCAACTATCTCTTAAAAACATGTGTTTGATGTTACGAAATTTGATATAAAAAATTTCAATGTCATAGGGTAAAACAACTTTAAGAAGACAATAAACTCCTTTACAATACCCCAAGAAGGACTAGGAGATTCACCTTCAACTTTTTTGAAGTACTTCTTGTAATCTTCATCTTCTTTCCCAATCCTATCAAAGACCTTGATGAACTTCTTGGAATTCTTTAACATAAGTTATGTTGAATTTCACCTAATAACACAAACAAAGCTAGATTAATATTAAAGAAATAAACATTAAATAACAATTCATAGCAATAATTAAAATTATCTTGTGGGACAATTCATGTTAAGTAGACTTTTCGAATTAGTTCTTTGCTTTTCCATAAGGTCCTTAAATATACATGGCCTCATTAGAGAAGATCTAAAAAATTAAATCGCATGCTGAATGAGTTTAATAGACTTATTCATTTCCTTCATTCCTTTATAAACAATCAAATTTACAATAGACACCATATATGCATAAACTCTCCATCACACATAAGACTATTCCATTACTTTCTTGTGCATTTGCTTTAGGGGTTTGAGTGTCACTCATCTTTCTAAATAAAGAAACAAAATCATAACACCAATACAAACAAAATTATGAAGGCACTTTTAAATCTATTTGATAGAGGAAACTTGGTCATATAGAGCAAACTTCAACATTTCTAAGCAGCTTTTACAAGTTGATTCATCCCTATTTAAGGATTTTGCCCTTGTTCAACATTTCTAAGGTGATTTTATAGGCTAGCCAAAATTCCCACAAAAAAATTAGCTTATGCTCCAAAAACAGTGCTTGCTTTACACAAAAATCATTTGAAAAAACATAATTTCAGACATAATGACCTATACACAACTCTTAACAAATAGACTTTAAGTAAAAAATGATAAAGTTTTTTAAAAAAATGCCGCCAAGCACGTCTCAAGTTTTACATTACACTATTATAGTCAATAGAGTTAAGAGATTGATAGAGAGTGACTTTGACTATTTGAGAATTGAGACTCCAAGTTGGAGTATTTGTTGGGAAGAATGGAAGTAGCCAAAGACAATAATCAATTAAGATTTAAGAGTTAACTTACTCAGTATTACTTGGTAGATGAATAAGTGTAATGAACGAATGAAGCACTAGGAGAAACAAGGGCAACACGAACATGAGTAGTTGGAGTTGAGCACTAAAAGTCCATGAAAGATGAGATTGAGTAGGAGCGTGGGTTTGTGTGACTAGGTTTGGTCTGGGAGATGAGATCGAGACTCACAACAACCAGCTATTAAGGGTTCAATAAAGAAAGATGAAGAGTCATTCGACTAAGTGAGTAAGCTGTGAGGCAATGAGTAGTGAGTAATAAATGAGTGTAGAGCGTGAGCCTAAGAGTGAGACATAATGAGTAAAGTGGTTGTCAAGCTAGTGTTTTTCACTTTTCCTTTAGACTTTAATGGGGGCTCCTGTGATAAACTTAAATGTAGTATTCCTTAATTTTTTTGTGTTTATTGTAAATGAGGACGGCATGGGTGACCTAAGGGGTAACCCATAGCCTGTCCCACCCATTTACATTAAAAATAGGTTGGCTCGTAAATTTAGTCTATCAGTTTTTCTCTTCAAAACCTACTCATTTTGATTGGTCCAAGTAGGTTCAGTGGGCCACAAGTTGTCTGTTCATTCTTACTTATTCAGGTTAGCTTGTCAGATTTGGCCTAAATTATTACTTCTATCTTCACCATTGAGAGGTAGAGGTTGTTAGTTCTTAAGTGCAACTTGTTTTAGTGCCGTTGAAGACCCATTTGTAAGAAGATTTCACATTTACAAGCTTCCAGGTGAGTAAAATATGTGATTTAACATCTCTTTATTAGATGTAAAACCTTGCATTGTGTTGAAATATTTTTATTCTGTTGAATGGTTCTTGAGAATTTGGGGA